TTCAGAGAAGAAATGGGAAGAATGTACGAAGAACTCAAGCCCTTCTACCAGGAACTGCATGCCTACGTAAGGCACAAACTCAGACAATTTTATGGAGAAGAGAAAATAAGTGCGGCAGGACCAATTCCTGCTCATGTTCTGGGTATGTATACATCTTATTGCTTGTGTAGACAAAATCTTCTGGAAGAAGCGCGTGACATTCGCCTGCCTTCTGTTAGAAAATCCTTCGTATAAACTGCTGGTGAAATAATGCTGTAGTCAACCACTTGAATACTTACAAAAATGCTTCCAAGAAAAAGGCTTATATCTCGATAATGTATACGGTATATCTAATCAATGTATACAATGTAGATGAATCGATTTAAAATAATGAGCTTAGAAAAATCGGGATCATCATTCGGATCAGAAAATTCAATTCAAGGCATGGAATGGGTTTAGTTTTGACCACATATCCGAATTCAAGAATGAGCAATATCACTGATCACATATCTCAAAATTTGCTATCTTGAGAATATTTTTGATAAACGCTTGATAAATTTCCTACCTGTCGAAATCAGGGAACATGTGGGCGCAGAACTGGGAATCGATATTCCCCGCAGTGTCCGAATTCAAGACAAAGTCGTTGGACGTCACGGACGAGATGTTGAAGGTGAGTCATCCAAGATGATGTATTTCCTGCCATATGTTTTTCATCCACACGTACGTGTTCCCGGTTCTCCGTCCTTCGCAGCAAAATTACACTGTCCGCCGAATGTTCGAGATTTCCGACAAGTTCTTTGAAGACCTCGGGCTAATAAGTGTCAACGACGGAGCCGCTGATTTCTACGGATTATCCATGCTGGAGAGACCGGAAGACGGGCGTGAAGTTGTTTGTCATGCGTCCGCTTGGGATTTCTCCGCCACAAACAAGCTTCCTGGAGATTTCAGGTGATTCCCATTGTCTTCCAAATGATTCAAGGTAAAAATTTAATAAATTTTCAACACGTGATTGCAGGATCAAGATGTGCACCAGAGTCAACATGAATGATCTCATCGTCGTGCACCATGAACTCGGTCATATTCAATACGGATTCCAGTATGTAAATCAGTCCCCGTTATTCCGAGATGGGGCAAATCCAGGTACTGTTCTGTATAACCAGATCAAGAACCTCGTGGTCTCAATCAGGAAGAATACGAATCTTACTCATGATTGAACAGGTTTCCATGAGGCCATCGGTGATACTCTGGCGTTATCAGTGTCAACCCCGAAACACCTCAAGTCCATTGGATTGCTCAGCGAGGATTTCAAGGTGGACGATGAAGCTGAGCTTGCGTTTTTGCTCAGGATGGCGCTGGAGAAAGTCGCCTTCTTACCTTTCAGCTACGCTATGGATTTATACCGCTGGAAAATATTTGATGGATCCATCACCACTAAAAATTTGAATTCTGAGTGGTGGAAACTTAGGTGAGCTCTAAATAAGACGCATCTCCGTTTCACTGGCACTCAAAGACATTTCATATTATTTCTTCTCAACTGTTGGGCTTTGGGATGATAAAATGAAGCTCAGTTTCACACTAACTCTATTCAAAGATACGGTTCGTGCATTGCCAGAGAATTAGGAAGCAAACTTTCCACGAAACCGATTACCATAAGCAGTTCCGCGAAATTCATGAACACATGAATCTTATTATCACAGAGAGGGTTTCCAAGGGATCACACCCCCTCTGAAACGTTCCGAGGAAGATTTCGACGCTGGTTCCAAATTCCACGTCGCAGCCGGGGTGCCTTACATTCGCTACTTCGTCGCCTTCATTCTTCAGTTCGACTTTCATC